TGGTAGAATTTTTCTTGAGTTCCCCATGCTGCAATACATTAACAGGATTTTTAGTGGAATTTTCAGAGCCCTATAAGTAATTTTAACCAATTAAAATTCATTAACCGCAATATTTAATCCCAGGAAAATCCTTTTCCTTTTTCTCTTTTCTTTTCCTCCCTTTTTCCTTTGTTGGGCCATCGGCCCAACCTTCCTTCCTCCCGCGCGCTCTCTCCCACCTTGCCGGGCCGGCCCATTGCCCCTCTCCTCCCTCCGGGTCACCGATAGGTGGGGCCCAACTGTCGGCCCCGTCTTCTTCCTCTGGCCGCCTGCGCCCGGCCGGCAACCGCCGCTCCCACGTCGCCGTCTGTGTCTCCCGCGCCCACTCCGCGTCCACGCGCCGCGCCCACATCGTCGTCCGCCGCTCCTCCGCTTTTCCCGCTTGCGCGCACGCCCGCAAATGGGCGGGATTCGATTTGAATCACATCCCCTCTCTCTCTCTCCACTCCCCCACATCGCCGGCCAAATCGGCCACCTCCCCGGCCACGTCCGCCCCTCCCCCGCCCATAAAAACCCTCCCCCGGGCCCCCTCTCTCGTTTCCCACTCTCGCCGCCCTTTCTCGTGCTTCCTACCGCCACCGCACCGCGCTCACCGAGCTCCACCGCCGCCGCCCATCTCCGGCCGCGCACCGCCGCCGCTAGAGCCACCGCCGCGCTGCGCAATCGCCGCCGTCGCGCTCACCAAGCCCGCCCGCACCTCGGTCACCGCCCGGTTGTCGTCAATCGCTGCCGGAGCCCCCTTCTCCCCGAAAGCCGGTGAGCTTCCCCATCCCCTCCGCCTCCGGCCGTCAATGGCGTGCGCCGTGGTCGCCTTCCCTACTCCTAACCCCCTTTATGCTCTCTACTAAGGTGCCGTCGTCGCCTCCTCTTCCGCGCGCGCCTCCGCTCCCCGCATACGCGTCGTCGCGCTGCACCGCCATCTGCGCTGTCGCCCCCGTCGCCGGCCACTGCCGCTGGCCGGTCGCCGGGCACCGGCCGCCGCCGTGAGCCATGCCTGGGCCGGCCTTGGCGCCGCCCGTCCCCAGCTGCCCGCTCGGCACTCGGCCGATCGTGGCCGTCCATCCCATGGCCCGCGTGGCCAGCCACGTGGTGCCACGTCAGCGCCACGTGGTACACCACCACCCCGGCCCCGTGGACCCGGTCCACGGTGGACCACCCCCTTTGAGCCACTGACCTATGGGCCCTGCCTGTCGGTGCTCCTCCCTCCCCCCCCCCTTCGCTGACATCAGCCCTGGGCAATATTGCGCAACAAATTGATTAAGGACTTTTTCTTTATTAGAAAAAACACAGATTATCTTCTAAAATTCTTATTTAATTCATTCGAGCTCCATTCAAGTCTCAGTAAATTCATAAAAATCCCTAGAATCCATTAAAAATGGTTTTGTTCTCTGTTTCAGTAGTCTTATAGTGTGTTTTGCTTGTGTGCTTTGTTTGTCGCATAGATCTCGGCCGTTTCGTCGATCCACGGTTCCTCGAAGACGTTGCTGAGGTCTCATCAGTGCGAGAGCAAGGCAAGTCATGCATTACAATTGATTATATTGTACCCAATTTACAAATATCCCGCATTTCTATTAAATGTTGTATTCTTTTACAATGTCATGTGGGATGAGTCCTATTACTCAGCCATATATTGTTTACCTTATGCCATTGATAACTTGGGTATCAAAATGATTGGATGTTGGTTTAGGAAATGCTTAGCCATGCCTAGTTCAACTAGTACACAAACGGAGATCACATTATTACATAGACTTTGTCTATTAGCATAGCTTTGGATTGGTGCCACCGCAATGGTGTTAATTAATTAAAATACACTGAATGGTGGGCTGTGGGTGCATGGTTTCGCTGGTCACACCCATGGCAATTAAGGACCGGTTCACGGGAAACCCTAGGAGACTTACCGTGCTTACCACAAGCGGGAGTGGGTAACTGCTTGATCTGAAGTATAGCTCGACCCTTTCCTAGGCACCGATGGTGAGGGTAGGCGTGATGGAGTTGGGTCGGCCGGGGTATCCGGTTGTCCAGCTGCCGGATTCACCGCGGCGCAAGAGGGGATCGCCCACTGCCTTTTGAGGAGTGGGGGTGAAACCTTAGCATGGTGTGGATGGTTAGGGGAGGGTTATGCGGAGGGTCTTGTCACGATTTCCCACTTTGTAGTATCATGGTGATACTTCGGGGCATTGGCGACATGTGTAGAATCGTGTCTTGTGGGTACAGTTGTACACCTCTGGCCAGAGTAACACTATTCGAATAGCCGTGCCCGCGGTTATGGGCGATCAACCAGATTCACCGTGATTAGTCTCACCCCTAGTTTAGCTTAATGAACTGTTGTAGTTCAGGTGGTTGGTTGGGCCTGTTGCAACGTGGAGTAGCGTTGGACAGTAATTGGTTAATATTGATTAATTACTACAATTGTTTTATTGCTTTCAACTATTGTTTTTAAATATCTGCTTTATTGCAAATGAACCCTTAGCCTCCTTTGGTTACATCCTGCATCATACCTCCTCTTCCGGTATGACTTGCTGAGTACAGTGGGTAGTACTCAGTCTTGCTCTCTTTTCCCCCACACCAGAGTTGAAGTTCTTCTCAGTTGGAGATGTCTCGAAGAAGTTGGTTTCGTCGCCGCCGTCAAGGATGCCTGTGGAATGGAATCGCTCGCTGCAGGAGTCAAGTCTTCAGGCTTAGCTCGCTTTTATCTTTTCCGCTGCATTTGTAATCTTTTATATTTTTGTAAGACGTGGATCTGTATGTCAACAATTGTCGTTTGTGTACCCTGACTGGTTTTGGATAGGGGTTTAATGCACATTCAGCTTAGAAATTCTGGTTCATGAATTTCTGGGCGTGACACATATCCTCTGTTTTGGCTTTCACTTTGGGACTTTGCTGCAAAAAAATTGAGGAAGAGGAATAGTTTTCGTAGATTTTCGTCGACCACATATGGAGGTTAAGCAATAGTTTGTTATAGATTTCTCCAGCAGGCCGTGTTAGTTACTTCTCTTGTTTCCAAAGTTTTAAATCGCATCTATTTTAACGACTTTGTAATAACTGGTTGTAGCAATAGCCGGAATGAATTTCTCTATTATCTTAAGAAACCTCATATGCCATCCTCATTAGTTGATCCGCTAGTCAACTTCCCTCAGTTAGGCTGACATAGACCCTTTTTAGCTTATTATTTGCACTACAACAAAATTCCAGTCCATTAGCGAAAGTTGACTGTTCCACTAATTGGACGATCCCAATTATCAACGCCTGATGGTTTATACTCTTCGACGAGATGGTTCGAACTGGCATTCGACGAGATTAATCGGAAGGCAAAGCAGCAAAAACCTCCCTTGCGAGATATGTTGAAAATTAGTTATAATTTGACATATTTTAATTCAGAAAAATAAGATAACAAACATGACATGTGCAGCAGAAAATGATCTTAGTGAAAGTGCTAAACATGAACATGCTAATAATTAAAAGGACATCATTAAAAAATAGTTTTAACCTATAGATAAGAAGGTAACATACCCGAGAACGCTCCGGTAAAACATAAGACATTGTTGGTGTTGTTGCCTCCGTTGATGTTGTTCTCGCCTCCTCCAATGCTGTTGCCTCTACCAGCACCGTTGACGCCAGCGCCTCCATAGTTGCTTCCACTGGTAGACATGATTAGTGGAAGTAGATGAAACAGAGTAGAATCAATGTAGAGGAAGAAGACAACATTGTGCAGAACTGATGCAGCAGAGCAATCACACTAGAAAGCGCTCCCGAAAAACTTGATCGCAGCCTACCAGTGCAGGTACTCAAGCGAATGGAGTTTCGGAGGCCTGCTCGTCCTCGCCGCCTAGCAGTGCAGGTACTCAAGCGAATGGAGTTCTGAGGCCTGCTCGTCCCAAACACTGCAACCGAGGATGCAAAAATGTAGCAAAGTAACAAAAACAGGATGTGCCGAGGAGAACCAGTGTGGGGGAGAGGAGAGCAGAGAGGTGTTTTCCCGTAACCGCTCAACAGGTGCTCTCCAATAGTAGCCTATTTAAGTTGAGATCCTTCCACATGGATTTTTAAGGTGGTATTAATCCATTAGCATTAGTTGTAGGTCTATCGAATTTATTAGAAATAAATTGGGCCTAGCCCATTTAATCCAATAATTCAAAAACTTGATAGGTTTTTTCGGTAGTTAGATTTGCGGCATCACTAAAACCATATGCTTTTGATGGTTCAAACTATAAAAGATGGAAAGCACGTGCACTATTGTGGTTGACGGTTATGCAGTACTTCTCTGTTTCACGGGGCAAGACAACCGAACCGTCTCTCTCACCTGAGGAGGCTAAGTTCGAGACGGCGGATTGCATGTTCCGTGGAGTATTGATCAGTGTACTAGCTGAAATATAGTGGACGTGTATATTTTGGTCTCCACCGAAATACAGGTATAACAAATAAGTTCAGGATAACATTTCTTGTAAGCTCTAAAATTTGGTGGGGGTTGTTGGATTAAATGGGCTAGGCCCAATTTATTCCCAATAAATTCCATAGGCCCACAATTAATGTCAGGGGATTAATATCACTTAGAAATTAACTTGGAGGGATCTCAACTTAAATAGAATGTTATTGGAGAGCACATATTGAACGGTTGAGGTGCTGGTGGGACTGCCACACGCCGAACCAGGCAAGGCGTGGCTGGCAGCAATTGCTCTCTCTCATTATGTTTTGCAACGAACGGGAATTGAATCAGCGTGGTTCCTATAACGGGTGAACGAATCATCCCGATTTATTGTAAGAGGTCCCTTTTTTTTTACCTTGTGACCGTGTCTTCTTTTTCATCTATGGATATTCATTTTACTTAAGAATGCTTTTATTTTGGCTTCTACCCGCTTATCTTCGTCCGATCAAGGCTGAAACCAGAGTGAACTGGTGCTGCCTACACTCTTCCAGTGACCTGCAGATTGGCAGCATTTAAGCAAAAGAAAGCTAGACAGAAAAAACATAAATTTGTGTTTCTTTTCCTACCAGGGAACACTTGTAACTATACAGAGGAGCCTCCCGACTCCTGAGCAGTGAGCACACTGCGGACACATGTATGGTATTTCAATTTCTGTAGATGACGGTATAAATGAATAGCTCTGCAAAATCTGTTGATTCCTTCGTCGGGGACGAGCTACACTATTCTGACAACGTGTTGTACATGAAGATCCAAGGTAAAAAAAATACAAGTAAAGGATCCTCAAAAAGGAGAGAAAAAGAAAAGGATTTTGAAAGGAAAATGTTGTATGTCGACAAAAGTGTCACCAATTGCCTACTGGTACCAGATAATCCTTCAGTGCATTCACCCTCTTCTTGCTCCTCAGTTTCCGAAATGCGGCTGACTCTATTTGCCGGATCCTCTCCCTGCTCACACCCATGGTGTTGCCAATCTCCTGCAGGGTTCTTATCCTACCATCTTCGAGCCCAAACCTAAGTGTCACCACTTGCCTCTCACGGGTGGTAAGAGTGTCCAGTGCCTTGTGTACGTCCCGTTTCATAGACAATCTGTTCAGCATCTCCTCGGCTGTCTCGGCGGTTGGATCAGCTGTGACTTCCTGAAAATGGAAGCAAGTTATCATCTGCGCTCTATAACAGAAAATAAAGTGTTATAGAAGTGGATTGTACCTGGTAAGTCATGTCTGTGCTACCAATTTTGCTATCAAGGGATACAGAATATTTTGGAAGGTTCACTGCTGCCTCGACTCGTTTGATCGGCATACCAGTGTCTGCAGCTATTTCTTCGTTAGTGGGTCGTCTTTTAAGCTTTCGACGAAGACGTTTAATGCACTCCTTCACACGATAGCTTGCTTCAACCATGTGAGCCTAGCAATGACAATAAACCAATCTGATGAACATTGGATGTGAAGAGTCATCTTTGCCAAAATATAAGAAATATCAGCCCCTTGAATATTTCAGTTTTGTGCAATCAAGCCAGTAAAGAGTACATTGTAAAGAGTACAAAAACTTGCTACCGTTCTCCCCAAAAATGTTCGAACATAATTTGTCATTATGTCTTATCCGAACTACAAATTTACATTGGCATGTATCTGTTATTAGCCATATAAGCAAAATGACCTAACAAGACATTTTAGACAATGAGAGCTAAGTGAATATAATTGTATAATTGAATGGCTCATACCAAAAAGTTCTGACTGAAAAGCAGAATAGTAGAGGAATCATATAATTAAAAGCCAGACTTTAGATGCTTGACAGAACAAACTTCTTATTGGTACTATTTGGCCAAATATCAGCATAAATACCATCCATATGAGTATTGGTTCTGAAAGCTATCCCATGGTATCTAGCTAAAGCTAAAGTTTAGCTGCTAAACCCAATCAAATGTACTGAGATTATCTCAATCAAAAGGCCTAGTTTATACGAATCATTGATAAGCACAAATAGTTCAAGCAAAGTCAAAACATATGTAATATGTAACAAATGCAAGTGTTTTTTCATGATATGAGAAATGGATGACAACACAAACTGTTAAAAATATTCCATCATGTCTCATATTGCAACAACCAACTGTCAGCAATGATTGATGCTATGGAATGAAATCTTAACAAACATTTTTGCACTGGTCACTGACTAGTAGGAACATTAAATTCATCATAAGTATTCGCACAAGATATGGAAATGCATTCACTCCACCATTGACCATTTTAGAACAAAATTGTACATACAATGTTGAGTAACATAATTTGCCGTCAGTTACTAGCTAACCAGGTTATGTGGAGGGCATAATGGGGCAGAAAAATAGAGCATCAAATGAATCATCAGTCAGGGAAAACAAAGGATGAGGGACCTACCGGCAAGCGAAATATCTGTGATTGCTCTGAGACAGATTTACGCATTGCTTGTTTGATCCACCAGTGAGAATATGTCGAGAACCTAAAACCCTTTGATGCATCAAATTTTTCAGCACCCCTTATAAGGCCCTGCATCCCTTCCTGTAATGAAGACCTAAAAATAAAATGTTGGTGCTAAATACAGCACTTCAGATGCTTTATTACTTATTAACCAGAAAAGGTACAAAGTACATGCATGTACCTGGATAAGATCATAAAGTTCCATTCCTGGACCTTCAAACTCTCTGGCAATAGATATTACAAGTCGCACATTGGATGTAACCATTCTATTCTTGCAATAAATACCATGATCTAAACGCTTCCGCAAAGTTCTCTCATCAACTCCAGCTGCTGTAGCCCACTGAGCGAAGGTTGGCTGGCCACCATTGTACTCTGCAAGCTCAGCTTGGATTGCTTCTAGCTTTAAGAGGTCCTAATCATATCCAACACAAGTATGCATAATTAACTCCAAAACTTACTCAATGGCAAGGTAACTATACTAAATAAAAGGAGCAACTGATTCTAGTGTATCGGTGAATAGTGGGTTCCAATATAAAATTTATGTTCAAGAGTTCACAGATTCCACCAGTGGCTTTAATGAACCTGTAAACTGTAGATCGAACACTATTGGAATATTCAAAACTTATGCAACGCAAGACACAAAAAAAACATTGCAAAGGCCATGCTATTGTAAGCTTGTATACAAATGAATATATTGACGAAGTCAAGGTTATGCCTCTTCTCATATAATAACAACTATCCAAGAAGATCACCAATTTCCATGTATTTTGTTAAGTTTCAACTCAGTCAGCCCATGTTGACATTATGAATCATAGCTGACTTAAACTGTCGAATGCAACCTAAACGTACAAATATTTCTCATCATCTTGGAGAAGCAAATTAATAACAGGATAAGGGTTCACCATCTTTGGCTCAAAACTGAAAGGCAAATTCAGAAATTGTTTGATTTTTTCTACATCTGCTTTGTGTTTGGCTTATTTCATATCCACCTTGATAGTGGTTATGTATAAATTGTAGCAGGACAGAACACATAAGCCTAACTTTTCAGCTGAGAGGATCGGATAGTGCACCCACACATGAATGAAATGAAGGGATTAATATGTTCATTACTTATAATGTAGTAATCTCACCTGAATACCTTCCGAGAACTCAACCTCTTCCTTTGCTGTAAGAAGTCTGCGACCCGTCATCTTCCACAAGGAACCTAATGGATTTGTGCCAGAAGAGGCGCCCTTTGACCGCTTCTTCTTTGAGGACGTTGCAGGTTTTGGGGAAGTACGGACTATGGTAGCAGCCTTTATTGCTGCCCTCGTTCTCCGAGCTCTTCTCTCAGTTTGACGAGCAGACTTCACAGCTATACTAGGGATGTCCTGTGTATCACCGTCTAGTTCAGCTTCATCACTCAAGATGCCATAAGACTCTATCTCCTCTGACAAAATGCCATCACTATATTTATCAAGAATGTTTGGTTTCATTTCCGTGCGAAGTATTTCATTTGCCAAGTAGTTGACCACAGCTTTTTTTGGTCTGGTGTTACGTTCATTTTTATTATTTTGTACCATACGAACAACTTCCTGTGCAGCTTCAGCAGCTGCTCTAGCAAGGGCAACTGCCTCTGCTGCAGCAGCTGTTACAACAGCCTCTTCATTTAGAAATACTTCTGATGCCAGGGCCGATTGAATTTTTTTCTGTAAACAGGTGGAAAAATTACAAAAAAGAAGAGTGAATATCACAGACGAAGAACTGCTAATTTTGCAAGTCCTCGAGTTAGGACATGGATGTATTATTTAGCAATCAACTAATTCTACTGGTGATATGAGAAAGTGCCAATTTTACAAGGCCACAAATTAGAACCTGCATTGTTTGGGACCTAAGTATTGCTACTGGCGCCGTCGTAGTTGGCACCTTGTACATATAAAAGGAAAAATTATACCCACTCGAAGTGAAAAAAAAAATGAAATCAAATCTCTTTCCAAAAATTTCCACTTCACTAACTGTTCAACAAAGATTTCCATTAAGAATTATGTTGATGCAATAAAAGTATGGAATTTCCAGTAACAATTCACCAACGAAGCTCATGGTCATGTTCAATCATACCAAATTTTTATCAAACTTAGTGTAAAGTATGTAATGGTAAGCGTGTTCGATCTAATTTCACTCTTGAATGTTCCAAACCAACAACCTAATCCCACATCCGCCTACTGCCCAGCTCTCCACTAGCGCACTAAAAGCAAATGAACAAAAATAGCTTCGTCGCAGCTCAATTCCATGACCACCATCACCAGCAAAACGTATAGTCCCCAATCCGATACGATATCCCAATCAACCAACCGAGTGGAGGAGGCAAGTCACCTGGAGAGCCGGCGCGGAGGAGTCCGGGGCGGCGGCGTACGCGAGCCGCATCCCCCCGCCGGGAGCTTCTACGACGACGGGCGCCGCGGCGGAGGTGGTGGCGGTGACCGCGCAGTGGACGCGGAAGGGGCCCCCGCGGGAGAAGGAGCACCTCGACGACGAGGAAGGGGCCGAGGTGGACGAAGACGACGACGACGGTAAAGAAGAAGTAGAGTGGTGGTGGTGCGCGTGGGGGCAGGGCGCCCACTTGAAGTGCGGCGCGAGGCACGCCATTGGCGGCGGCGGCGGCGGTGGCGGGGAGGAGACCGGCCGCCGAATCACCTGGGGTCGGCGGCCTCCATCGCCGGAGACGGTGGTGGTAGTGGAGGTGGAGGTGGAGGCGAGGCGAGGCGACGGTGGAGATGGCGTTTGGGTTTGGCTCGGGTTGATCTGGATAAGGGAAGGAGGAGGAGGTCAGCTCGGCTAAAGCTGGGGGGATTCGTGGGCCGTTTGGGCCGGCCTGACTTTCTCCGTGGGATTTCAAATCGGGCCCATCCAAGATCTCATATGTGGGCCATTAGGACCGTTGGAAAACGGAAAAAGTACACCGAAGGTCCCTCAACTTGTCATTAAATTACAAAATCGTCCCTCCCCCAACCGTAAAACCAGATATACGGGGTCCCTTAACTATACAAAACCGGTCACCCGAGATCCTTCGGTGGGTTTGACCCGGTTTTGGTCTCAGCGTGGGACCCACGTGGACCCCACGTGTTAGCTGGGCACGTCATCACCCTCTCCCCTCTCCTTTTCTCCTCTCTCTCACTCTTCTCTTATCTTCTCTGGGCGACTGGGCGACAAGGCGAGCACCGCTGCGGAGGCGCCGCGTCGGCGGGCGAGACCGGTGCGGCGTCGGCGGGAGAGAGCGGTGGCGGAGAGGCGGCGCCGACGACTCCGCGCCGCTCGGCCTTGTCGTCGGCGGCGGCTCCGAGCGCGAGGGAGGAGGGCGCGGGCCTCGTCGTCGGCGTTGGCGGCGGGGGTGGCCTCTCCGGCGGCGGCGGTGGCGGGTAGGGGGCGGCTCCTCCGGCTGCGACGGCGCGGGAGAGGCTGGCGGCGAGGGTGTATGAGGAGGAAGGCGCCGTCCGCGGTTTCCTGCTGCTTCCCCTTCACCGTCGTCGAGCTCGTCGGCCTCGCCGGCACCGGCACGTCGGCGCGGCACAGGGGGCACGTCGTCCGCAGGCGAGCGCGCGCACCGTCTCCCCTTCCTCGACGGCGCGCAGGCACACCGCGCACTCCGCCGCCGCTGCCGCCGCCGCACTACCTCCGCGGCGGGGCGGGAGCACGAAGCAGGGCAGCCGCGCAATGGCGGCGGAGTCGAGGTGCCTCGACGCCTACTGGCCTACTGGGTCGACGCGCCACGCGGCGCCCTCAACTTCGTCATCGAGCTCTTCGTCTCCGGCACGCTCCGTCAGTACAGGGAGAAGCACCGGCGGGTGAGCGTGGCGGCGGTGCGGCGCTGGTGCGCACAGATCCTCGACGGGCTCGCCTACCTCCACGCACACTCGCCGCCCACCATCCACCGCGACCTCAAGTGCGACAACATCTTCGTCAACGGCAACCAGAGGGAGGTCAAGATCGGCGACCTCGGCCTCGCTGCGTTCCGCCTCTCCGCCGCCGGCGGCGGCGGCGACCACACTCGCTGCGTAGGCACGCCGGAGTTCATGGCTCCCGAGGTGTACGAGGAGTCCTACGACGAGCTCGCCGACGTCTACTCCTTCGGCATGTGCGTCCTCGAGATGGTCACCCTCGATTACCCCTACAGCGAGTGCTCCAACCCCATCCAAATCTACAAGCGAGTCATCTCCGTACGATCTGATCAGTGATCACCATCTATTCGATTCTTGCAGAATTTCTCGTGAATTCTTGGACACGATTTGATCAAGAAAATGCTTGTTTATGATCAGGGGATCAAGCCTGCTGCGTTGTACAGGGTGAGCGACCCGGTGATGAGGCAATTCATTGAACGGTGCCTCGCCCCGACGGCGCGAGCTGCTCGACGACCCGTTCCTGCTGCCGCTCGAAGACGATGGCTTCTTCTCCGGCGACGGCGATGGCCATGGCAGTGTTGGCGTTGCCTACTACAATTTGATGTACAACTACCTGCACCAGCCTGCTTGCATCGACGATCACCATGCGAAGGGATCGACAAGGTTTGGGTGGGACGGACGAGACGGCGGCCCGCGGGGGGAGGACATGGCGGCGTGCCGGCGGGCGCCGCTGCCGCGGCCCTCCCTTTCTCCCGCGTCACCGCCGCCACCGCCACGTCGTCGGCCGTCGGATTTCCTCCCTCGTCTCGCCCGGCGACCTCCTCTCCACCCGCCGGGCGGCCACCATACCAGAGAGGATAAAAGTGAGAGAGAGATGAGGAAGGGAGAGAGGGGAAAGAGTGACGTGGCGTACTGACACGTGGGGCCCATATGGGTCCCATGCTGACTCAGTCACCACATCGGATAAAACCGGGTTTAAAACTACCTAAGGATTTAAAGTGAATGTTTTTGTAAGTCAAGGGATATTATATATCTGGTTTTGTGGTTGGGGGACGATTTTTTAATTCGATGACAAGTTGAGGGACCTTGGGTGTACTTTTTCTTTGAAAAACTATTCGGAGGATACGCAAAAAGACGTACTGGTTTAGCACATACGGAGTAATTAATTATTACTCTCTCCATTAAAAAAAAAAAGCCAACCTAGAATAGTCGGAGGTTGGTTTTTTTATGGACGGAGTATGTATTATTAGCTAAAAATACTTGAAAATAAATTAGTATAATTTTTAAAGCAACTTTTTTATAGAAAACTCTTTTTTAAAAAAAATACTCCGTTTAGCGGTTTGGGAAGCGTGCGAGCGGAAAACAAATAAGGAGAAGTTGGGAACTTACACAAAAAAAAACACAACTAAACGTCGTCCCAAGAAAAAGCAAACAAGTTCATCTCAAGTAGGGATCCAGTTTTAATCATATCCTGAATCGTAAAACTCATATGTTTGCATCGTGCTTTCATAATAGTGTAGAGTTTTAAATATTTGTAAGTTTATTGTTGAGAAAATATTTATAAGTTTCAAGTACTTTCATAATACTGATATTTCAGTCAATCCTATCAAGTACTATTTAATAATGGATCTAGTACTATTTTATCTAGGTTCTTAACTTGCTCATGTACATATATATATATATATATATATATATATATACTTACATCACCCATAAGCAACCACTAGTTGCAGGGCCAACACCGTTGCAAGTACAATACTAGTTTGGCATAGCTCTCTTATCTTTCTTACAGTCCAATTTCAAAGTGCAGCCTTGGAAATTCCATTCAACTGAAACTCCATGCAAGAAACTGTTTGTAACTTCTGGAAATGTACACTATACTATGTTAAGCCCCGTTGCATACTGATACTGGATTGTACTGGATGGGTTTATCTCTTCTCTCGCTCTGCCAACCTGATCAGCAGAATTAGAGGCAGCATTAAATAAAATGACAAGTAAATTAATATATTCACAGTCTGTTTAAGAAAGTTCATCAAAAGAAACAATGTAATTCTAACCTTTGAATCTGTATTCGTCAATGCTTTGTCCATCTCCTCAAAAACATCCTTTATTGTTGGACGCCCTACACTTGAATGCGCCACGCAGAGGACCGCAATTTTCAATATCAACACGAAATCTTCAATGTTAACCTCGTCTCTAACACGGGGGTCTATGAATTCGTCCAATGGTTTTTTCCCGCTCACCACATCCCTGGCCTTCATTTGGAAAAGTTGTGTGTGCACTTGAATCATAATCATTTGAAAGACGATGACTACAATAACTATCTTTAGAAAACAACGAGTTTTACATTTTTTATCTTTGAATTCTGGGTTGTCGGATTTTTTTTTCTAGGGTTGCATTTAGTTGCATTACTTACATTTTTTTCCTCCATAGAATTTAGTTTTACTTCTTTTTGTTGTTTTGGGTGTTGCATATTCATAGCACAATCATATTTCCATTCTTTTAGATAATTATTCCAAAAACAATTTAAAATGTCTTAACATATATAGTCAGTTGAATTTTGAACATAAATGACACTAATATGAGAACAGATAGTGAGCATTACTCCTAAAATTCTAAGTGAAATCATAATTGCATACTTAGAGAGGTTGTTATAGATTGCGTAGCATCAAACATATGCTGGTTAGAAGTATCATTTTTTACCTTCTTTGTAAGGGAATCCCTGGCAACAGTGTCAAGTTCAATGACCTTCCTTCCTGACAGGAGCTGCAGTGCAACCACACCAAAACTGTAGATGTCACTGGCACAAGTAAGCTTGGAATGTGTAATGTACTCTGGATCCATGTAGCCAATGGTCCCTCTCACATCTGTGAAAACTTTAGTCTCCTCCATTTGCAACATCTTCGCCAGCCCGAAATCAGATAACTTGGGCTCCATGCTCTCTGTCAGTAAGATGTTAGTGAGCTGCAAAACCAGAACAGGACACCAGTGGGTAATGGTTTGATCAAATTTATGGTTCACATTGCTAGAATCACAAAACCATTCAGTACTGTCCTCACCTTAATGTCTCTATGAACAATGCATCCATCAGGGTGTGTGTGAAGAAACCTCAAGACAGATGCACAATCCCTCAGAATCTTCACCCTTGCTGGCCAGGACAGCACAGAGTCACTCCCTGTCAATCAAGACAAAAGGATCATTCCAAACATAGCTGAACCTAAATTTTTTCCACTAAATTTGAAACCAAAAAAAGAACTGTCATCAGCTCTGCTCAAAGCTCAAAATAACTATTCTTACTTAGAAGGTTCTGAGCCAGGTTTCCATTGGCACAATACTCATACACAAGGTACTGGTCACCCCCATCATCACAGTAGCCAAAGAGGCAGACCAGATTGGGGTGCCTCACCTTGGAAAGGCCTTCCACCTCCCTCATGAAGGACCCGGACATGGCCGACTTGTGGATGTGCTTGATCGCAACAAGCTGACCACTCGGTAGCACTCCTTGGTATACCTGGCCTGCGCTACCGGAGCCAAGGCAGATCTTGCTGTTCGCGTAGTTTATCGCCTTCTCGATCTCGCCCTTGCTGAACTTGTACAGCCCTGACCACCTGTTGATCACCTCCCCATGAACCTTGTTGTCTTGGTGGATAATGAAAGTTAGTAGTTAGTAGATGATGTTGTGCAGGTTGATTTGTATCTGAAGTTTGTCAGAATTCATGTGTTGTAGGGGGGGTTATCGTTTATCAACCTTGAGAAGATCTTGTTGAGTCAATGGTCTCATCAGCTTTGCTCTTTTTGCTCATGTATCTCATGAGTGCAATGATAAGAGCAATCAGCATGACTGTGAAAACTATTACTACTGCAAATGTGCTACCTGAAAAAAAAATACACAAATAATATTTATTTAGACTTTTGTTGGTGATGCATAATGAACTGTGCTGTGTTCGGAAAAGAACTGATGATCTTGGACTTACGTTTTATCTTGATGTATCCACCTTCTGCGATTGTCAAGAAATATGATTAGTTGGTGTATCCATTTGACATGTTATATACCATTGGTGTTAATTCTACTACCGTTATGCTCGTATAGTTACTCATTAAGAAATACTTGTCGGTTTTGACTCTGAATTGTACAACTTTGACCAACAATAATTTTTAAATAACCTATTATTTATCATTAGATTAAATCTAATCGAAAGAACTATAGTAATATCTTACCTTCGAATCTATTCACTTTGACATTGTTTGAAAATAATAGTCAAAGTTGTCAAGGGAGAGATCATGTTTAAATGATAATACCTTCGGTTTTTAATAGATGAAGCTATTGACTTTTTACACATGTTTCACTATTTAGGTTATTTAAAACTTTTGTGCAAAGTACCTATAATATGATAAACCAAGTCGCAATAAAATAAATAATGATAATGTTTTTTAATAAAATGAATGATCAAACATGTGTCAAAATGTTTACAACGTCATGTAATAAAATAAATAACCATAATGAGGGTATAAACTCAACGCGATTATTTCATCAATTAATTTGTTTGCTCCAGTCAAAAAAAAAAGGGGGTAAGTACGAACTGCATGCTCGTTTTCTTTTAGCAACAACGAAACTTTTGCATTTTAACACTAAGGTAGAAATATTGCATTATTTAGCAGCTATTCCGCCTATTCGGACGTTGAAGCTTGTACATATCTTTTTTTAAAAAAAAATATGTTTACAGTTTTTTTTCTTTTGCAGAAAGAGAAGTATTCAAGTGAATATGAACTGATCACCCCCAAGATAAAGACATTGAAGACGAACCTGCAACAAAATCTTGATCACCCTTGCAAAAACCAACTGAAGTTACCATAATCAAAGCCATCCATAAAAGCACCTTCTCCATCCTTCAGCTTCTTCAGTGTCCTCGAGCTGGAGTATGTCTCCCTTTTACCTGAGCTGTGTTGATCAAGACACAGTTGCAAATTAAAGGAACTCCGTGAAGCAACCCCAAGGAGCAATCTTATATGCGTTCCCATCCATAGTAACCATCGATCGCTGGATATTCTTCTGGACCTGATTATTAGTATAATGAGTTCTCAGCTTCTTATGCTGTGATCTTGGCGTATGTGGTATCGTGGATTGGTTGTTCGGTTTAAATGTGGTTAATTAGAAAGAAGGGGATTATGCGCGAACCAGCGTGCCATGCTGTAGCTGTCTGGACCATAGTACACACCGATCTCTTATTTTGTTGGCAATTAATGACTTGTTTATTGATGAGAGAAAAAGGCAGAGACGCACTCCTTCCATAGTTAAAAAAAAACCAATTATATACTTAATGTGATTACTATGAATCTAGACACCATATGAACATCCTTGTGTCTAGATTATCGTACTAAGGTGTATCACATCTGATTTACAATGTTGGTTTATTTTGTGATAGAGGGAATAGTGCTGAAGATTTGTGCAGGTTTTGTGTTAGTTTAAGGTTGCAGCCCAGCGCAAGGTAGCTGGATGGAGACGTGCAATATCTTTCGTTTTCGTTTTGGATAGTTTCATTTTGAAGGGGCACAAAAGATGACAAATTATACGTTCCATTTTGGTACCTGTTTTATCTTATCAAGCATGGAAAAATAACTTGCATTACATAATTCTGCAATCATAATTGTTGGATCAAATTGGACGGTCACGATTTCCACCATGGCATCCGGGCAGGCATGCAATTGCTGGACATTCAAATGCATGATTTGAATGCATAACTTGCATTATAGCCATTTCCAAGCAATTTCACATTTCAATGGAAGCATGGAAATCAGGAAAAAATTCAGGCATGTACACGACGAATACAGAAAACGCTCCAAAAGAATACCTCAGGGTTGACAGTTAACAAAACAACCGTTCTAAATCCTACCCCATGTCAAGCAGAACCATTTGACCACGCCTAGTTTTGCTACTTATCCATTCTCACCCTTCTAGACCATCCAAAAACAAAATGTTCCATATCCTCTATGTTACTAGCACTACGAAATGACATAGACTGACCAAGCTAGGGACAGCAATAATAAGCATACAAACCAGTAAACCAATCCTTCATGGCTATTAAGACGGTTTTAGCACCCTATCTCGTCATCAATTACCAGAGGGTGATATGCTGATCATCAAGCATTCTGGTTCTCGACGCGCTAATTACAGTATCTGCCACGCGCCTCCACTGCTGTCCGCGGTCAAAAGAGCTGAAGATAGCCTCTTGATGCGGCATACTCTGTTCCCACCTTTGTACATGGCATCACAGGGTTGCCCTTGCGAATTATCCATTGTACTTCCTTGGCACGTTGAATGAGCCAAATGTATCTGAGTCAGAAATAGTGAAATCATCACATCTCCATTTCTCTAGTTGCTGGTGGAGGCCCATCTCGCTTGTCTCACCCTCGTAGTCATCTTCATCAATGTTTGTAGGCTTCCACTGATCCACCAGGCTGGATAGTCGGTTCACACAGTGGCACATGTCTGGCCTCTGGTATGGTTCTCTTGCTGTGCAGTGGCGGGCAAGGTCGGCTACCTCCAGCAAACTCGTCCAACCTTCTGCACTGAGCTCCAGCGTGGGATCTACAAACTTCCTGAACTTCTCTTTATCAAGAATATTTCTTCGGAAGATTGTTACAAGATGTGTTTCATCATCAGGTAACGAATCATCAAGTACTTTCCTTCCCGTAATCATCTCCATTAGTATCACACCATATGCATACACATCAACTTTTGTAGTAACTTTTCCTGTAGCTGTAAAGATAAGATGGCATGTTAGTCATTACACCATCAAAGAATGAGACACATGGAAATGTGTACAATACACACAATCACACATAAAGGTTTGGTTTTCCATAGGCACATGTATATGCATTATAATCACCGCTAAAATGTTACTCAAAGATAGATAAAAAATCCAAATTAATAACCCATTCTTTATTAAATAAAGATGGAGTGATAATGTATGTGCTCACATATTTATGTGGAGATGCATTCAAACAAAGGAATTTAATGAATACACACTAAGCACTATGGCTTACAATGGCAATAGAATTCAGTAAATCTTTCGCAAATATTTATTGCGAAAAAAATCGTAGAATAAATTCAGAAGAACTTTTTCATTAACAAGCTCATCCTTTTGTATAAACAGAAAAAGAAATAACAGAGTAACTTAACTTAAAAGAAATAAATAAACAGAACATTTAGTTCATTGTAGCCCCAACTATGTAACATGACCACCTGTATTACCTACATTTTAGAGGATGGATAAACAAGTTTCAAATCCCAGTGGCTGTGAGTGAGTAGTTTAACAAATCACTTTGCCTGTTTAACTGTGGTTTTTCAGTTAAGTAGATAGCGGGGTCCACATTCATACAGACTGTATAAGTGATAGGTTCATATGACAAACAGTAAATTAGAATATTATGGATCATTGATGGCCAATTCTCTATGAAGATCAGAACCACTATCAAGTAGAGTGAAGAGATGGACTTTACAGCTTACACATTTTGGTAGTTGAGGGACAGATTAAACCAGTTTGGCAATTGAGAGATGAAAACTGAACTGAGTGAGTTAAGGAACAGAGAATTGATTTTTTTCCTTTCTTTTATTTATGTACTACCTCTGTCCCAAAGTATAGCAATTTTTGAATGGATGAGACAACCTAGTACTAAGAATCTGTGCAGGCCCTTATCTAGATTCGTATTACTAGGATGTGTCCCATCCGTTCAAAAGTTGTTACATTTTGGGATGGAGGGAGTAGATCGGTAGATGCGGAATAATTAAGGATGGACGAATGAACTTAGGGTTGAAATACGAAAAACTAAGCCAATTGGGAAACCAACTGAATTGTCACGAAACTTGCTCGGGAAAAAGGAAAATTTCCAGAACCAACTTATTAATCCCATGAGATCTTAGTGCTTTATTTCAGTCTTTTTTTTTCATCTGTCTCCAACTTACTCAAATTCAAACAGTCATCTGCATTTACTTCCAACATATAGATTAACTCCATGAGATCAGAGTATTTTGTTTCAGTCACTTTTTTTTCATTTGTCTCCAACTTACTCAAATTCAAACAGTCACCTATTTTTACTTTAAACAGATAGATCAATGCAAGAAAGGCCTGGGGGCCTTCCGGCTAGCACCACAAGGTGTGGGCTAGCCGACGCAAGTTCGAGCCTCACCGCTCTTAATAAATTTCGATATGAGAGCCCCTCCTCCCATATCCAGCATTTTTTTATAGATCAATGCAAAAACTTCTTGTAGCCTATAGAAATAGAATAACTCAACAAGGCCCAAGGACAAGCATCACACCAGCAGCAACAGTATGTGGTGTGCTCGAAGCTGATTTTTTAGTTGAAAACAAATAAATATTTGTTATCTGCTAGTTGCATTCAATATATTGTTTCGGACTTCCCATGTCAACCTATGCATATGCTCGTCTCACAACTAAACTCTCCCCTCCTACCTTGCAACATACCTTGTGCTAGTTCCCTAGCTGTTCACTCCCTTTTCATCCTTCTGCTACTCGTCTCCATCCCTACCACCTTTACCAGGCTAAGTTACCTCGACCGGCACATAAGGGAATATTCGTTGTATTCCCAGGAATGTATCATGGCTCTTCATATATACTAAACTACAACTATATTGATCACATGTCATGAGTTAAGTAGGACCCTTATTTTCTCTGAGCATATCAATTGATAATAGCTATTCTTTGTAAGTATATCAGCAACCAGAACTAATAATTTCTATGGAATGATTTATTGATGTCATAATTATGCTCAAGCATCTAGGAGGAAAAAACAACATGTGAACTGAGAAGCTCCAAATTTCACAATATCAAGATAATGCATTTCCTGTCCCTAGGAAAACATAACTTTTTTAGATAACAGAAGATATCTCCAGCCTCTGCATCATGGAGGTACACAGTCAAGGAATAACTGCTAATAGACATGATGCATGTGAAAACTTGAGTTGATAGAACAGTAGAATGAACAATACAAAAATGTGTCACCGCAAGGATAACTAGTGACCTAGTGTTTCCCTAACAAATACGACCAGCTATTAGTGTAACCACTGGCTGTGGATTTGAGACATGTTTTAGAGTTTGGATAAAGAAAAGCAATAAAACCCCTAGTAAAGTGACAATTGAGCCTGTTTTCAACTCCAATTGTGATTTTTACCCCTACTTTCCCAACTTTGTGGTTTCGCCCTCATTTTTTTGAACTCTTCCCCCATTCCGTTAAGAGGACTTAACAGATTAAAATTATCTCCAGCAGAAACCTGGATAATTGGTTTGGGCAACGTTCATTGTCACAAGAGATTATGTGTCAACAAAGTAAGAAGTTCAATGTTCGAAGGATACACAAATATTAGCTGTTCAATTAAAGGATATAAACATGCCCCAATTGAAGAAAACCATTTATGAATAGTACTATTGATCTCTCCCCTCAGACTAAACAATCGGGTTACCCACTTACCCTTCCATATTTATTTCTCTCCTATTACATTGATGTACCCTTTAGTCTAATGGATTGATAGTATGAACAAGGTAGTCAAACCTCTACTATGAAAAAAGCAACATACGGAGTGGTTATGAAATTTGCATTACTTTAAGAAGCATAACAAGGCTAGGATCTGCAAAGCACTATGGCATCCTTATAAAAAAAATGGTGCTCATGTATCCAAGAAACCAGTAGTGCTGTCCAGCTAACAGGAGTAAAAAGATGCAATATGGTTAACTTATCAACACCTACTCTGAAAAGTGACATCATAAAATAACTGCACATCCCACAGAAGCTCTTAGAATAAAGGAGAGGAAAGCTCTAGGTGTCTAAGATCTATATTTTGTTTCCTAGAATGTAAATGGCTAGATAATACAGCATTGTAGTACATCCAATACTTCACTGGACACTTCAGTCCTGCATAAGATACTTATATGTTCTAAGTCATAAACAAGATTTCACAAACAAGGCCAAAGGTAAAACTACTCACGTTAAAAGAACAAACTGAGGCCAATGCTAATACTCTGCCAAGACATTGCTTTGTGCAGTTCACAAGCGCAATGCTCCCATTACAATTAACCACGTATTATACCATGTACCAAAAAAACCATATGCTGGTCCATTATTCTAGGTGCGCCCAGAATTCCAAGTGCAGCATTTCAAAAGGATCTATGTAATAATTGATGCATATAAAACATTTCTATGTTCCTACTAATCGATGTTCTATTTCCTAATCGATAATCCCTATGCTATACTAACCTTGTATCCTAGTTTCTATAAGCCCAGCATCATTATTTTTATTAGGCAGAGAGATGGAGAGGAGAGAGAAGCAAGTTGTTTCTCTATAGAGAGAACTCTTTTGGGGATAGAAACAAAAAGAAACCTAGGCCAACACCAAATTCACTACACTAAGAGATTCCATGAAACAATTAATGCTATTAGCTCCTTCGACTTATGAAACTACTTAAACAAATCACACCTCACATATTTATAGGACTGAACCCATCCTATTTCAAAATAAATTTTGAATAAAGCCTACCAATCAGTAATTCTTCAAGGAACCCTTTGTAATGGCTGTTACTATCATTGTTCCTGGGTGATATGAAATCCTATAGAAATGGCCAAGTCATTTCTAATTGGAAATGCCCTATGGGTCCTCCTAGGAAGTGTCAGAGTGCAACACAATTGTGCTCGTCCTTGAATTATGATACTAGTGAATATGCAAAGCTGAAAATTTGTTCCAAGACAAATGTAATCAAACTGCAATCACTCCAAAAAAAAAACAGATTGTAACAGAGGAGAAAAGTGTGCAAAAAGAAACTACAGACTGGTAATTTAGAATAAAAAAATTAACAGCAGAGAGAAGTACACTTACTAGCATATTCAGGCGCGAGGTACCCAAATGTCCCGGCAATTCTTGTCATCAATGACTTATCTGTATCTTTGGCAAGCTTGACCAACCCAAAGTCCGAAACCTTAGCTCTCAAATCTTGATCTAACAATATATTGGAGGGCTTAAGATCTCTATGGATGAAAGTTTCCTGTGCCAAGCCATGCAAATATTCTATCCCCCTAGCAACATCCAAAGCTATTGTCATTCTCTGCGTCCATGTAAGAGGGATAAACCCACTCTGCTGAAGATCACAGAGATGCTCACGTAATGTTCCACCAGACATGTACTCATAGACCAAGAGTCTCTCATTGCCATGGGTGCAGTAACCAAGTAGTGCAACCAAGTGCCGGTGTCTTACTTTCCTAAGAACATCAATTTCAGCCAGGAATTCTTCCTGCCCTTTAGTCCCCATGGTACCACTGTCGCACCTCTTCACAGCTACCAGCTTTCCATTGAGGTTGCCCTTGAAAACCACACCAAACCCCCCTCTACCTAAGATGCAGTCCTCACTGAAGTTGTTTGTGGCTTTTAGCAGCACTTCTACTGACAACTGCATTCCATGGGACTCAAACAGCTCAGAAATGTTTGAGCTGTTAGCAGCGCTCACATGGCTGTAAAGCTCAGTTGGGAATGCACTGCTTCCATTGCTAATGCCATTTGCTCCAACCACCTGAATCTTCATCATCTCAGATTCAGCAGGAGAGGTTTTGGTTGACACAGGCCTGAACTTTTCTACATTCTTCTTCTTTCGATGATGCACCAAAAGCGCAATGCAAGCAAAAAGAATAATCACAGCTACAATAATTCCAATAATCATTCCAGTATTTGGCTTTGACTTTCCTCCACCTGCAGAATCTGACGATGAAGAGTCACCATCAGAACCACCTCCCCCTCCACTGCTACCACTTGATTGCCCGAACAGGTTTCCTTGAGCAAGCACATTAACTGATGGCTTAAACTTGGGCACTTCGCCAGTGAGTCTGTTATTTGCGACATTAAGAACTGTAAGGCTCGGCAATGTAGTCAAAACATCCGGTATCACCCCTGTGAGGTTATTGTTCGAAAGATCCAGCCTCGCGAGCCTAGTCAGGTTTGCCAAAGCAGGCGATATCCTACCTGATAAGTTCTTACGAGACAAGTTGATCATGGACACATCCGACGAAGTGCAAACGATTCCGACCCAGGCTGGACTGCATGGATCATTCCCTTTCCACGTCTTGGCGAGCTCATACGGGTAACCAAACCCTTCAGCCACCTGAAGAAGAGTGGTTGTCAGTGGAGAACATGGACCAGGTGTATTAAGACAAAACCCATTCCCGCTATCCTCATCTTGCCCGGGGATCGCAGCAAACGCTGGCTTCGGCCCCTGAAAATTATTGTTGGACAGTGAAACATTCTTCAAGCTCATTAACCCTGTCAGCGAGGGCGGCACCACACCAGTGAGCATATTGTCCCTGACATTGAACGCTTCCAGCTGCGTGCCGTTCAAATCCGGGATCGGGCCGGTGAACTTGTTGGACTGAATCCACAGCAGCTTGAGGCTCTTCATCGAGGCGATGACATCGATTGGGCCCGATAGCTTGTCATCCGACCTCTGGTTGTTGAGCTGCAGGCTCTCCATGGCAATGAGCGAGGACAACTCGGGCGGCAGCCCGCCGGTGAGGTTGTTGTAGGAGAGGCGGAGGTTCCTGAGCGAAACGAGGGTGGCGAGCACGGCGGGGAAGGGCCCCGAGATGGAGGCGTTGGAGGCGGAGAAGGTGTCGAGGGAGGAGCAGTTGGCGATGGCGTCGGGGACGGGCCATGGCGGGAGGGGGAGGTTCTCCATGGTGAGATACTGCAGTGAGGTGAGGCCGTGGAGGAAGTCGGGGGGGAGGGAGGTGAAGGCGTTGCCGTCGAGGGCGAGGCGGGCGAGGGAGCCCATCCTGGCGAGGGAAGGGACGGCGCCGGTGAGCGCGTTCCCCTGGAGCTGCAGCGCGGTGAGCGAGGTGAGGGAGGAGAGCGAGTCCGGGAGCGTGCCGGAGAGCCCCCTGTCGGCGAGGTTGAGCTCCGTCACCTTCCCCGCCCCGCCCCGCTCGCAGGTGACGCCCTCGAAGCCGCACACGTTGTCGCCATCCCACCCTAGGGCCGGGACCGACCTGGCCAGGTCGTGGATGGCTTCCGCGTCGGTCGCCGACTCGGCGACGCCGGCGGCGGCGGCGAGGAGGAGGAGGAGGAAGGGGAGGAGGGGGAGGCGGCGGGCGTCCCTCCCCATGGCGGGCGGGGAATGCGGCGGCTTCCCGGCGGGCGGAGGCGGTGGGGGATTCGGGGCGGAGAGAGAGAGAGAGAGAGAGAGAGCGAGAGAGAGAGGGAGAGGGTATTTTTGGGGAGGAGGAAGGGTTGGCTTGGCTGCTCCGGTTTCTCTCTCCTCCGCTTGCGTATTTTTTTTTTCTTCTGTTCGATTTCTCTCTCGTCTCTCCGGGTTGCAGTTCTTGTGAGCTCGTCGCTCGCTCGCATGGCAAGTGTGGGGCTGTGGGCTGGCGTTGGGGGGTGGGGCCCGGCGGCTGCTGCACTCTGGACTCCGGTTGCTTTCCATCACCATGTGGCACAGCTGTTCTTTTTATCTTTTTTTTTCCTTTTCTTCCTTGAAATTAAGGTGTTTTTTTTCATCTTCGTTTATTTATTATTCCTCCCTAAAATTAAGGTGTTTTCCTTTTATGTTTTCATCTTTGGAAATACCATTTGTAAGTGCGAGTGTGCTGCGTGTTATGTAAAGGATTTTTTTTAGAGTTTGGAATTTCTGTTTTATTTGGGTGAAACTTACTAAAATAGATTCATTCAAGTCGTAAATATTTGACATGATCAAACGTTTAAAATTCTGGAGATCAGTTTTATTTACAAAGAATTTATAAAATTTGTACTTTTCGAGGCAAAGCTATGTATACCATTTAGTTTGTTTTGCTTTTAAGCATTTGAAAAACTATTAAAACTCTCCCTCCGTCCCATAATATAAGGGATTTTGAGTTTTTGTTTGCACTTTTTATCACTCGTCTTATTAAAAAAAATTTGGAATTATTTTTTTTGACTTGCTTTATTATCCAAAGTACTTTAAGCATAACTTTTCGTTTTTTATATTTGCACAAATTTTTTTGAATAAGACGAGTGGTCAAACAGTGCAAGCAAAAAAAAAATCAAAATCCCTTATATTATAGGACGGAGGGAGTACTAAATATCAGATATTTGTGTTTTACAACGAGATGGAGCACTTCTCATGAAATACATTTAGAAATTAAATATAAACAATTTATATTTACCTTGGAAATTTATTTACTCAACGGAATGTTTACAATATGGCAGTGTTTAGTTCACCACCAATTACCCCAAACTTTCAACTTTCCATCACATCACATCCAAAACTTTCCTACACACATAAACTTCCAACTTTTCTTAAACTTTCAATTTTTTTCAGGAACTAAACACACCCTATGTTATCGACGCAAGTCTGGTAGGCAGGGGTGCGAGTGATTTGTGATTTGTGAGGCGTGTTCTGCAAATTCTAAATTTACATGGTTTTTTCCCCTCAAACTTCGCTCCAACTTCCAAACAGACATTTATTTCTTTTTTAAGAAACACAGTGCAAACATTTCCCATGCTTTCATACTACTCTAGAAATGTCCATTCTCAGTGGTCCAAAACGGAACGGTTGCCATATGGGTTGGTTGACTGGGAAATTACTCCTACGCTTGCGTTCGTATTTGTGCGGCGGCACGCAGAACAGTACTCCCATTTAATGAGCAAAATTTGATGAGAATTTATTACATTCACCGCACCAACAAGATGTCAGTAGCTGTACGTTCTTCATGGGCAAGAAACCGGAAGTACCCTTACATTCCCACACCGTGTGGGCACTTGGGAGTGCAGTAAATATATTTGTCGCTCCACTTTACAGAAACCTCATTTTCCCAGCTCATATAAAATTGAAAAAAAAAGTACTATAGGCTGTGTTTAGTTTCTGAAATTGAAGAGAAGTTTTGGAAAAGTTGGTGGTTTGGAAAAAAGTTAAAAGTTTATGTGAGAAGAAAAGTTTTGGATGTGATGCGATGTGATGGAAAGTTGGGAGTTTGGGGGAAGTTTGGTGTGAACTAAACAGAGCCATAGAAGCATTGTGAAATATTGTGCATTATTCGTGTATGGCTCTCGTGTTGTCTTCTCTGCCATCCTCCCTTCTGCTTTTTCCCCGTCTTGCTGTCACCAGACAAACGTGCGGGGGGCTACACCGGGCCAAATCACGGCAACGCACTGCGGCAAACCACAATGGATAACCGGTGGTCACAGCGGCCCATACCGGTGATGGCTAGTCACAATGCTGAGCGCCAGCCACTCGCACCAACAGCATGGCGGGCTGACCGAAGTCAGATCGTCCAAGCTAGCTAATTGTACCCCTCCTCCTCCTCCTCCTCTTCTTCTTCTTCTTCTTCTTTAAAAATATGAGAGTAGAATATGAGAAGAAACAGTTGAGAGAGAGGGGGTTTTCCTGAAAACCCAAAAGGTTTCTAAAAATGGAAGCTGATATAGTGTGCGCACGATGTTGCCAGCTGGCCAACGGGTGTATGCAAGCAAAGCAAAAACAGAAAGATCGACGTCCCTGCATGGTATGATTGGTATCCGACTATCCGTGACAGCGATGCGGGTGTGACTTGCTGACGTGGAATCTTGGACTTGTGCTGGACATGGTTGGTACGTAGGTGCACACCTAGCTGTACGGTGCTTGCACACATGATTGTGTTTTTCAATTCAAAATTGCTATGCATACGACCTAAATCTCACGTACGGCTAAATTTAATTAATGGTATAAATAGTCGTGATGCATATAAAGATGTTTTTTTTGATTGACATATAGTTGTATTTATAATTGTATCTGAGTTATACAACTGGATTTCACATATAGCCGTAATCTTTTAAATTTTAACATGTAGAGAGATTTTCTTTCCCTTCCTTTTGAAAGGACGATAGGCAAGGGTTTCTACCGAATATGCTGGAACGGAGATACTAATCATACTAATCTTTCCAATTAATGCTCAGGTAGTTGCAGTGGTAAAAAAATGGCCATGTGCTTCGAGATTTTGCCATACTAGTAATAGTGGAGGAATGAAAGCATCTGGATTATTGTTGGTTTCTGTGGCGCCATTAACGTTTAAGAATTAGTTTAGATGTTTTGAGAATATCATTAAAAAAAGAGGATGTTTCTGAGAATATAGTTGTTTCTCAGAAAATTATAATTTTAGTTAATTTGGATTAATTCTGTTAGAATTAAGATTTCTTTCAAAAGGAATTAAGAAGCAACGTACAAGTCCAAAGAAACTGATCTGTCCAAGTACTTATCCAAGCACGTGTAGATTCTACTAACGTAATTAATTCAAGGGTTAGATTGTTCACGTAATCAATTCAAGGGTTAGATTTTTCCTACTGATCGGGGACGTACGTACTGGGATTAGGAGGAATAGCGTTGAAAGTGATGGACATGTGAGCTGCAACCATCAGTCCAGCACAGAAATGGTTTGTCGTGCAACACAGTTTTCTTCTGTTCACATCGGATAAAACTTTTCTCACCCGGTGAACTGGAGTATAAACAGGGTAGTTCCGCAGACTCTAAATAATAACTTTCTCGTTCTTTATTGAAATGATCTTTACTCGGTCGGCTGATTTTCACAATAATCCCGGATCTAGTAAAAACCGGGACTAAAAATTATTTTTAGTCCCGGTTATAAAAATTTTGATCTTTAGTCTAGTAAAAACCGGGACTAAAAATTGTTTTTAGTCCCGGTTATAAAAATTTTGATCTTTAGTCCCGGTTTATACCCTGTCAGAGCCATGTCAGGGGACCAAGGATCTTTAGTCCGGTTGATACTACCAACCGGAACTAAAGATTATCACTTTATCACTTTAGTCAATCTTTAGTCCCGGTTGGTAATAACAATCGGAAATAAAGATCATTTAGATTTTTAGTCCCGGTTGGTAAACCGGGACCAGTTGAAGTTACTAACCGGGAGCAAATATTTTTCTCCCATATCTGATCGGTTAAGTCCCAGACTAAATATTTAGAGATAAGATCATCCCTCTCTAACACCCCACAGATCCAAGCCTCCTCCTCCCCTCTCCTCTCCTCCCCCATTCTCCCCTTCCTCCTCCTCCCCTCTACTCCCCTCCTCCCCTCCCATCCGGAGGCCGGCAGGCGGGCGGCGGCGGCGGGCAGCGGCGGGTAGGCCAGCGGCGGCCGTGCCGGGCGGCGGTATGTGGCCGGGGGGCCACGCGCGGCGGCGAGCGGCTGTTTTTTTTTAATAATCTGTGATTATTGAGATGTATAATTTTGTGATTCATTGAACATTTGCATGGATCTGAGATGTATAATCTGTGATGTATTTGATTTGTTTTCTATTTTTTAGGATTTGTGATATATTTGATTTGTGTGTATGAGTAACTTAGGTTTGTGATGTGGAGTTGGGATGTTATTTGATTTGGGGATTTGGGGTTTGATTTGGGGATGTGCATGCCACTCGATTCGGGAGAAAATAAAAAAGAGAAAAAAAAGAAAAAGGGACCATCTGGACTGCCCGCTACCCTATGTTTAGTCCCGCTTGATAAGAACAACCGGGACTAAAGATCCCTCATTTTTACTCCCAGTTGTTGTTATCAACCTGATCTTTAGTCCCGGTTATTTCAACCGGGACTAAAGATGGTATCTTTAGTCCCGGATTGCTACTCCCGGTTGGAAACCCGGGACTAAAAGGGGGTTACCAACCGGGAGTAAAAAAGGTTTCTCCACCAGTGTTAGTAGCGCTAAACGATGTGTTTCATCGAAGTTTTTTTTATATAAAAACTATATTTAAAAATCATATAAATGTTTTAATTAAGACTTAATTAATCATACGCTAATGGTCATCTCATTTTACGTGCTACTATAAAAATAGAACTACTGCTCCTAATATTCCAAGCGCCAAACATACATCAGCCCAGGCCTACCCCACCCCATGTCCCGTCATCCCACTCCTACCATCGTCGTAGTAAACGATTTACTCTATCGCGCGCCTCAACCACCCACCTTTATTCGAGTAAACAATTTACTTCAATAATAAAAACAACTCCCCTGCTTCCGATCCCACCACATTCCGCACCGTGCTCCCACCATTATCGGAGTAAATGATTTACTTCGATAAAAACAACTTCTCTGCTTCCGGTATATATTCTATTTTTCTTGTACCCAACCAACCACCCTCGCCCCCACTTCATTTTTTTCCTTTTTTTGGGATCTGAATCGATCCACTGTCCCAGCCCACAGATCGGCG